TCTGAGCTGTCAGCACAGAGCCCGACGCGGGGCTCGAACTCACGAACTGTGAGATCATGACCTGAGCCGAAGTCGGATGCTCAACCGACTGAGCCACCCAGGCGCCCCTATTTTATGTTTATTTTTGAGAGAGTGTACAAGCGGGAGAGGGGCAGAGAGAGAGGGAGACACAGAATCCAAAGCAGGCTCCAGGCTCCGAGCTGTCAGCACAGAGCCTGAGCAGGGCCCGAACCCAAGAACCATGAGATCATGACCTGAGCTGAAGTCAGACGCTTAACCAACTGAGCCACCCAGGCGCCTCAAAAATATACTTCTAAGGAAGAAAAGCAACATCTTTTCTAGTTGAGAAACCAATGGTCAAGAGATTAAAAAATGTTGATTATTTTTTACCTATTATCAAGAACAGCAGAGGCAGAGGCATCCAGTTCTAAAGTCTGCTGAAAGAGTTCTTTGTTCTCATCAATAAAGTGCCGTTGCATCTCAGACATCTGGGCCATGATCTTTTCTCTGCGGAGCCTGGCAATCTCGGCTTTTCTCTTCCTCTCAGCTTTGTCTTTGTCTCTTGAACTCTGAAATTATGCTTCATTTAATTAGACCATTAGATGCTAAATGCACATTTTTACCCCAAGGGAGAACTATCTTTATTGTAAATACTGGTTAAAAACTATTTTATAATCTCATTTATCTAAACAAGAGAAAAGATTTTTTTAACCTGTTAAAAAAAAGGCAGAGCAAAAAAAATTGCTACAATAAATAAAGATAAACAAATAGTGGCACGTTTCTTGGAATTCACATTTTTTGTGAATATCAACTACCAATTTATTGCAGACAAGTTAAATTACTTATAGTGAACTTGCTACCATGCTGCAGTAGGACCACATGCTGCCTCTTATACCTCCTCCATTATGGTTCCTTCAGTCTCTGCCACGGGACTGGTGGACGAACTCTCTCTCATCTTCTTAATAGCATTAAAAGTCTATGACAAAATGGATCAGTTATTTGGAAGCTATGAAATATTATCAAAATTTAAAGATAACAAACACTGAATGTTTCTTGCAAAAAAGCAGAGCGATGCAGGACATTTTACCTTTAATATCCACCTAATCATGTCTTTGTGGACGTCTAGGTAGGGAGCGTTCTGTAGTGTTTCCAGCATAGCCAGTATGCTAGGAGAGTTGTTTGGGGCTTCACCAGGTTCTAAGGCAGAAAAAATAAAACTCACGATAACAACAGCTACCACTTCACAGTGCTTATTACTGTGCATGAGAAGATAAATAAAGTTGCTTATAACATCATCTGCCCATCATTTAATTACAGCTCTGCTTTAATTACAGCTCTGCTTTTTAGAGATTTTCAATATTTCTTAAGAATGTAATGTATCTGTACTTTTCAAACAAATTGTTAACTAGAATGCTTTCATCATTCAAAATGGACATCTTACACCAAATGATTATTTTAACATAGCTTTTAGCAAGATTAAATAAAAACCCAGCTGAAAGGACTACCTCAGATTTTACAAAGTCTAAGAAAAGAGCTGGATTATAGGTGTGTGTGTGTGTGTGTGTGTGTGTGTGTGTGTGTGTAAAAATATATCAACGTGTTTTGGTCTTTTAATAAAACCTAGATTCAAAATAAAATCCATTTCTCTCTCTGTAAGTTATTTTTTATTTGAGGGAAAGACATACATGTCAAATCCATAATCTCAAGAGTATACTTAATCTAATGTTAGCTGATTTAGTTTTATAGTCAGAAATGTCCAGTTCTTGATTTTCTTTAAGTGCTGCCATTTAGGCAAAATATTCCTAGGAGGGGAAGAGACTAAACTATGCACTCTTTAATATTCTTTCAGATCTAAAGTTCTGTGGCTATAGTTTAGGGATTTGACTCTAAACAGTGTGTTTTTTTT